AGGTTCTTGTAGGTTTCCAGCATTACATCTTTGTAAAGATTCTTCTGAGAAGTATCCAGCAAACTCCACTCTTCCCAAGTGAAATCGATATGCACATCATTATAGGTAATGGAATTCTGAAATATCACATACATATGTGCAACTGAAATTATGATACTGACCATATTGGAAATGTATGATTCCTTAGAAAATCATATTAAGATGTGTTAGTTTTATGCTATGGAGCATTTGGTTAGTGAAGTAAATATGTGTTGCTTTTGATTATTCTGTGGGTTTGTGAACCTGAGATTCTTAGCCTGTCAACAACTATTGATGATCTGACAAAGAGCTGATTATTCAATAGTGAGGCAGGAAAAGTGATACGTTGTGGTTGCAGGACAAATATACATAGAAGGATAAATCTGGAAGCAAGGAGGAAGGAACAAGATACAATAAGAGGAGGATGGGAAGGGACAGAAATCAAACAACACAGCAAGTAGTGAATTGGGCCAGAAAGTAAGATATACATAAATGGAAAAAGGTAAAAGTCTAAAGGCAAAAGGTAGATGGTAATATTTAACTTTAGAAAAAATGACTACAAATAGGCCAAGTAAAGTCCAGGCATTTCTAGGTAATCACATGTATCTGTATGTCAATTTGGGACTGGGAGATACCCTCCCATTAAGGTAAAATCTAAAGAGATAAAGGAGTAAAACATTAAGCAAATACTTGGTACCCAACATGGGGCCATATTTCCATGTAACAAAATAGAAAGCTAAAAATAAAAATATCTCCTTAATGACTAAGTAACAATGATAACCTCAGTTAAAGTGACTACCACAGCACAATCATGGGAATGGTAGAGCTCTAGGGATGCTGTATATAGTTCTTGGGGACTGAACTCTGAGTGGGCTGTGAGTTATAGATTTTGTTCTCATGCATAGCCAGCTGGGAGACAAGACAGAATATCCAGTTGTAGCTGAGTCATCTAATGCTTGTATTAGCAGGAAAAAGGCTAAAATGCATACAGTTAATTAAGACCAGACATAAATGGAATTGAAAGAGGGACTGTTGAAGTAAAAGAGTCTATATAGTATATAAATATCTTTTAAAAAGTCAAAAATATTCGTCAAATGAAAATTAAAAATGCTTTGGAGAAGCAGTTTTCCTATTGTTTCCACAGGAAACAAGAGGCTATGGATTTGCTTTAGGGTGACATAGATATGGGTAGAGCAACTGAGACCTGTTGAACTTGACAGGCCATACATATCAACTAAAGTTACTGATGGTCTTCGCACAACTTGAAAATAATCTCAAATTTTTCCATGGGACCCCTTAAAGATGCCTTCATCCACAGACAGCAGATAGCATCTGGAGAACATGACTCCCACATTCCAAATGTTGGAGGGTAGGAGACCTTTGATTATTTGGTGGTTCAGAGACAACTGTTATATGCATGCAAATATAGGAACCATAAGATAAAATGTTAGATTATTGAATCTACTACTACCTGCCTACCTTCAAGGACTCACTTACAAGAACATTCTATGGTTTGGTTACCATGCAACGACCACTCCCTGATGAACCCCAGACCTGCCAAGCTTCCTGCCTCTACCACCATATAAAGTCTCTGAGAAAAAAATTTTGCAGCTTGATCAGAAATCCTGTCTTGCTGTCCATTTGTTGTGTCTCTTGTCCCATCATTCCAGGCCCTGTGAAGTTCAGGCTCCCATTGCTGCCCTGTTGGCCAGAGCAAATTTTTGTTACAACACACTACATATTGTTTCTACTCTTGCTTAAAGAATTTTTTGTATATTGATAAAAATTCAAATTTTTCTGTTAAAACATATTGTGTTCATGTTTTCACTCATGTTGTTTTTGAGTGAAATTCAAAATGAATTTCTAATTTTTTTAGCTATTTCATCCACAAAGATAATTGATGGTATCTCTGAGGAAAATTTCTATTCCAGTCTGAATTGCAACCAAGTACTCATTTCTAAGTTTCTTGTTTT